TTCATTAATATCATTGTTAACATGCAAGTCCATCCATCCTCCTTTACATGATACTATATTGCTTGATAAACATATCCTGCATAGGATCACTTAACAATAATGGGTTTATAAATCATCATCAAAATACGAGACCTAACAATAACCTGAGGCAGAAACTTGAATGATTTGAGCTGGAGCTCATTCTTTGATTTCTAGAGCTTTTAACCTACACATGATTGTAGTCATCTTTGTTTCAAAGGTAATGTTTGTCTCTAGGGATAGACCACTGGATTTGAGTTGGAAAACTTATAAAACTCTATCATCATAGTGTTCCCATTGTATGGTTTTCTCAAATAAACTCTCTAAAAATTCTCAAACTTTATCTGTATTTTTTCATAAAATCCCCTTTACATATTGATTCTAAGGAAGTTTTTAAAGAATAATTCAATCCTTCATAGATGATTTGGCATAATCGCTATTTCTCAAGACTGTGGTGAGGACATTTGATAAGAAGATCCTTAAATTTGTCAAAATACTTCCAAAATGACTCCCCTGGGATAATTTTGAAATTCATGATGCTGTTTCTAAGCTTAACCATTTTGTGGATAGGGGAAATTTTCTTTAGAAAAAAGGTAATAGATTCATACCAAGTTGAGATAGAATTCGTGAGTAAGCTATACAGCCATTTCTTGGCTTTGTCCATAAGAGCAAAAGAAATAAATCTAAGCTTGATCACATCCTCAGATAGTTCCCTAATCTTAATCATAAGATAAACTTCCTCAAACTCGAAGATAAAGATATAAGCGTCTTTTTTTTATTTCCTAAGAATTTTGAAAGCATGTTTATGTAATGCGGTTTAAGCTCAAAATTAGTTCCATTGACTTCAGGTAGCTTAATGCGAGATGAGATTGTATTTCTAGTTGGGTAACACATATCTTGAAAAACCGGTGGATTAAAATTATCCATTTATTTGAAAAGTGGTTCAAAACGGATTAAACGATTAGTGTTATCCCTAATCCAACCTTGCATACACCAAGGCAAATTCTTTTTGTTTTTTAAATCTTAACTAAAAAATTCTAAGAAAAACAAAAGTTTTTTTAAGGAATACAAAAAAAAAAAAATCTAAAAGATAATGAGAAGAAGGAGAAAGATAAAAGAAAAAACCTAACTAAAACAAATCAAAAGCAATCACTTTTGTTAATCACTCTAAATTCAAGGGTTAAGCCTAAACTCAGCTAGACCAGCTCTGTCACGCCCCGCTTCCCAAAATACCGGGGAATCGGAGCGTAAACAAGCCCGCGACGTATTAGATTGAGAAGAAAAATATATATATATAGCGTCAAATATACAAATCTCAATCACAGGTCCCCGATCATAATAGTAAGAATATAAAGACAACCCAGAATAAGAAATAGACATATCATCCACAGATCATCCCAGACATAAAATATGGGTTCAACATACCCTTATTACAAAACAAGTCTAGGTAGAAATAGAAATACATAGTCCATAATAAAGAAGTTCTGCCAAAATACGAAGACTTCAGTTTGTTCTTCCACTCCATCGGAAGGACACTCCGGCTGGGTATACTCCGGCTCTACTGCCTCTTCGAACTGAACCTGTTCGTCTCCTAAGTCTGACGCACACCAGAGGAAAACAGGTGTACGTCAGCGTGTATGGCACACAGATAGATCTCACATGAACAAATAAAATAGTCGTATGACCCATGCTATGACAGTAATAATACTAATATGAAGGACAATGGTACATGCAACTAGAAATCTAATGATAACATATAGCTGTGTGGAAACGGTAACTGGGTCGAATACTAATCATCCTAAGACTCACTGGTCCATCTCTCAAATAGGTCCAAGTTCGCATTATCGGAAGACTAACTGTTCACCATCCCCTACGCCCATCCAATCCAGCGAAACAAGCGGCTAGAGGACTACACGCAATCCGATCTCGGCCCGGTCTGGACTCAGGCAAAGTTCAGGTGACGAAACAGGTCACGGATCCAAGTGGCGAAATAGGTCACTTGGTCCATCAAACCAACCCCAGGACGAAACATGTCTCTGGTGCGGCCTGGAAGTTAAGTCAACAATCACATTCGACCATGCGAACTAAGACTTTCCCAACCCAACTCTTTTCGTTTTTCTCAGTCAACAATAATCTTCACTGAAACTCGGGTTCACCACCTAACTCAGTCAACGCACTCACACATGTCACTAAGTCAGTTCATGATGCACGAGGCCACTAAGTCATGAACCACTAAGGTTCTCAACACATCAACAGATCATGAATATAGTATGGTATGTTGAACATGATTACACAGGTTTATGTAGTAGAAAAGAGAGCTGTAATGAACATGAAATGCATAAACAAGATACAACATGAATATAATACATGAGTGGACTTCATTATTATCTTACTGCTAGGATGTCCAAACTTCTCATACAAAATATCCGTACTTACTTATTCTCTAATATAATAATACGGTAAAAAGGACACTAGAAACTGATGTCGTTTTGCACATGAAATGTCGCGCTCCACGATAATCAATCGTACTATCATAAATAATAATATTCTTTTTCCAAAATTATTCTTTAAAACTATTTCTCATAATAATTAATTTAAAATTTTCTCATATATATATATATATATATATATATATATATATATATATAATTGTTAATTCCTTTTTACATGAAAAGTAATATTTTCCTATTTTATAAATTACCTTAATTAATTCCTTTTTGATAAAATTTCGTAAATACTAATTTTAATACATAACTTGTAATTTCATGTCTGAAATTCTTAAAAATACAATTAACAACATTATTAATCTAATTTTCACGGCATGCTCGCAATCATCATTCCACGCAGATATTCAAAAATACGTGTTAACCACAATAATAATTTAAACATATTCAACCATAATACTAACAACAATATTACCACAAAATAATTTATCTATATCTAAACACGATATTAATCATTAATTAAAAGCAAGATGGATGCGAGATCTTGCCTACGACGAGTCGACTTCGAGTGTGGCTAGCGGCGTCGACGTGGTGACAACAACCGAAAGGCGTGGATGCTTGGACAGCGCACGGTTGTGCAGGCATGGTTGTGCTCGTCGGTGAATCTGGATAAGACGATAGCGGGGGAAGACTGTCGAGGGACTGCAGCGATGGAGAGGGGTGAGGGGACTGTCGGGCTGCTTGGCTACGAGTGCCGTGGGCGGGCGTCGGCGGCGGCGCTGGTCGAGCTCAGGCGAGAGCGGCGTTGAGCGGAGGAGAGGTGGTAGAGTTGAGTAGGAGGTCGGGGCTGATGCGGTGGTTGTAGGGAGGAGGAGCTGGTGGGTGAGGTGACGACGAGCTGGTCGTCGGAGCTCAGCGGGGCGGCGTCAGCTGCTGCAGCAAAGCTGGTGGCTTAGGCCTGGAGGCTGGGCATCTGGGGTTGGTCGGCGGAGGAGGGGACGCCGACGGGGGAAAAGGGCGGAGGGGCGGCGGCCTGGGCGGAGCTCGAGGAGGCTGACGGCGCTGCTGGGCTTGGCGGAGAAGGGGGATGCGGTTGAGGGGCTGGCGGAGGCTGCAGGAGGCGGCGGCGATGCAGAGGCTAGGGCGGAGCTCAAGGCTGGGCTGAGCTCGCAGTGTTAAGCTCGAGGGCGTGGTTTGGTCGGCACAGGCCTCGAGCGGCGGTGGGAGACTGAGCTCGAGCTCGTGCTCGAGGGCAAGGCGACTGGCGGCGCTGGCGGGGGCGACTGGCGGCTGTCGCGCGTGCTGCAGGGGCGTTCGTCGGAGTTTGGAGCGGCGTGGGGTGGCTGGTGGCGTTTGATGAAGGAGAAAAGAACGAAGAGAGAGGGGGTTGGCTTCGTGGGGGTTTATTGGGGAATGGGAGAGCAGAGTGAGAGAGAATATAATAAAGAAGAGAGAGAGTGAGTGATGGTGAGTGATTGAGTGAGAGAGAGTGGGACATCATCTTTTAATGAGAGGATAATAAAGAGAGTGTGTCCGAGAGAGAGATTGAGTGTGAGATTGGAGAGAGAGTAAGAACGGTGGAAGATTTTATTGAGAGAGAGAGTACGTGATAGGGTGGTTGGGAGGATGTGGGTTGAGAGCTGGGGGAAAACACAAGGAGGAGGGATTTGCGTGTATTGGGGAGAGATATACAGAGTGAACACCGGTGAGAGGAAAAACACAGGGAAAAATACCCCTTTAAATAATTTAAAAAATATCATAAAATTTATTTAAAATAAATATTAAAATTTATGGTCAAAATAATAATAACAATAACAATGATGAATAATTAACTATTTATTTAAAAATTTTACCAAAACAATTAAATTTATAATTAGCAAAACTTATTAAAATAACATAATATCGTATTTTTAAATTGTAGAAAATTCTAGAGAAATTGTGAAAAATACAAATACTCTTTTAGAAAAATAATATTTAATATTTAAATGCCAAAAAATTATTTAAACTCGTATTAGAAATTTACGGTCATTACATCCTACCCTCCTTAAAACAAATTTCGTCCTCGGAATTAAAACAAGGACGAAATATAAAGACAGATTCATCTCAACTCATATAAAGTTCAAAATATATTGCATATCCATAAATAGAAAAAGTCATACAAGACGTATCAGAATAAGATACAAAACAAGACAGCTAGGATTCAGGAAATAAATGAGGGTATCGCTATCGCATCTCAGACTCAGTTTCCCAAGTCGACTCTCCAGGAGAATCTGGGTGCCACATCACACGAACAAGCGAAACGGTCTTATTCCGGAGGGTCTTCTCCCTTCAGTCTAAAATTGCCACATGCTGCTTTTCGTATGTCAAATCGGATCGCATCTTAATCTCCGAGAAATCTACGACATGACTCGGATCTCCAACGTATTTTCGCAACTGAGAAACGTGGAATACGTTATGCACTCCAGCCAGGGCGGATGGTAATGCAAGTCGGTACGCCACTTCTCCCACTCTCTGTAATACGTCGAAAGGTCCCACATATCACGGACTCAACTTCCCACGCCTTCCGAAGCGAATGGTGCCTCGGTTGGGGGAAATCTTTAGGAATACATGACCTCCTGGCTGAAGCTCTAAATTCCGGCGCTTCGCATCTGCCCAATACTTGAATCTGTCCTGTGCTATGCGAAGTCGCTCCCGAATAATCCTGACTGCATCAACTGATCTCTCAATCAACTCTGGCCCAAAAATCTCCCGTTCACCAACATCATCCCAACTCAAAGGAGAGCGGCACTTCCTGCCATACAATGCTGCAAAAGGGGCCATTCCAATACTAGCCTGGAAGCTATTGTTGTATGCAAACTCCACCAAATGCAAGTGATCTTCCCATGACCCGTGAAAGTCAAGCATACAAGCTCTAAGCATATCCTCCAAAATCTGAATGGTCCTCTCTGACTGTCCATTGGTCTGGGGATGATAAGCTGTGCTGAAACTGAGACTGGTCCCAAGACTCGCCTGCAAACTCTTCCAGAACTCTGAGGTAAATCGGGTATCGCGATCCAAACGATGCACACTGGAACTCCGTGCAATCGCACGATCTCCTGCAATACTGGAGATTTACTAACACCCTTGGAAAGGAACTCATCGAACATATAGAGATAGATATTTTACCTCCATGTATCTCTGAGCAAGATGCTCCGTCGACTGTCCCACTCGGAAAGGAATGAAGTGAGTCGATTTGGTTAATCGATCTACGATCACCCAAACAACGTCATTTTGTTTAATGCTCAGAGGTAAGCCAGTGACGAAGTCCATGGTGACATGCTGCCACTTCCATTCCGGAATAGGCAACGGCTGCAAAAGACCTGCGATGCGCCGATGCTCTGCCTTCACCTGCTGACATACAAGGCACTTAGCCACACTACGAGCCACATCTCTCTTCATACCACGCCACCAATAATTCAGCTTTAGATCCTTATACATCTTCATACCTCTAGGGTGAATAGAATATGGTGAACTATGAGCTTCCCGCAATATATCCTCTCGAATATCTCCTCCTGGTACGCAGATACGACTCCCAAATCGTAAGGATCCATCCTCATGAATAACAAATTCTGGTCGAAGACCGGCCACTGCTAACTCTCTGCACTTCTGAAGAAATGGATCACCTGCTTGAGCTGCCTTGAGTCGCTTGATCAGTGTCGATTGAATCTGAAGATTCATTAAAGAAGCGGTGACTCCTGGAAGAAGAACTTCTATACTCATATCCCTCACTTCCTGCTGGAGTCTCCACTGAGCCGTGAGGGTCATGATCGCCAGCAATCGGCTCAATGCATCTGGTACTACATTGACCTTACCAGGGTGATACTGAAGATCAATGTTGTAATCCGCCATTAGCTCTAACCATCGGCGTTGCCTCATGTTGAGCTCCTTCTGAGTAAATAGGTACTTCAAGCTCTTGTGATCAGTGAACACCTTCACTTGCTCTCCTAACAGATAATGCCTCCAAAGCTTAAGGGCAAAAATCACAGCTGCCAACTCCAAGTCGTGGGTAGGATAATTCTGTTCATGCTTCTTCAACTGACGAGAAGCATATACCACCACATGACCATCCTGTTGAAGAACGCATCCCAATCCTCTACCTGATGTGTTGCAAAACACCTCAAAGTTCCCACTCTTATCTGGTATTATCAAGACCGGGGCTGAAATCAGTCGAGACTTTAACTCCTCAAACGCCTGCTCACAAGCGTCGGACCAGACAAACTTAATATCCTTCCTCGTAAGTCGTGTCATCGGCTCTGAAATCTTCAAAAAAATTCTGATGAAGTGACGGTAGTAACCAGCTAATCGTAGGAAGCTCTTAATATCTGACACTGACTTAGGGGTAGGCCAATCCTTCACTGCAGATACCTTCTCCGGATCCACTGATATGCCGTCTCCTGACACCACGTGTCCTAGAAACGTGATGCGATCTAGCCAGAACTGGCACTTGCTATACTTGGCGAACAACCGATGCTCTCTCAGGGTCCGCAACACGTACCGCAAGTACTCCACATGCTCCGCTTCACTCTTAGAGTATACCAGGATATCATCAATAAAGACCTCTACAAACTTGTCCAGCACCTCATAGAATACCAGATTCATCAGGTTCATGAATGTCGCCGGTGCATTAGTCACACCAAACGGCATCACTAAGAATTCATAATGTCCATATCTCATCCGAAACGCAGTCTTGGGGACATCAGAATCCTTAACCTTCACCTGGTGATATCCGCTCCGCAAATCTAGCTTAGAAAATACTCTTGATCCTCCCAATTGATCGAAGATATCATCGATACGGGGAAGTGGATACTTATTCTTCACTGTTTCCGCATTCAACTCTCGATAGTCAATGCACATCCGTTTGGATCCATCCTTCTTTCCCATGAGCAACACAGGTGCTCCCCAGGCCGATACACTAGGTCGAATCAACCCTCTCTGCAAAAGATCGTCCAACTGAGTCTGAAGCTCGATCAACTCAGTCGGGGGCATACGATAAGAAGTCTTGGAGATAAGAGCAACTCCAGGCTTCAAATCTATGGAAAACTCAATTGCCTGATCCGGTGGCAATCCGTAAATATCGTCGGGAAACATATCTTCAAATTCCCGAACTACAATTGGCTTCTCGGATTCCACTTGCATCGTAGCTAACGTCGCCTTCTTCGGTCTAGCTCTGAACTCCACAGGTCCGGCCGATGTGCTACCACTAATGAATTCAAATCTCGGATGATCTGGTATCTCGAATACTACGCTCCGACGGTGACAATCAATGGTGGCAAAGAACGACCCTAACCAATCCATCCCAAAAACTGCATCAAAGCTCGGTAAATCTATCACCAGAAAATATGCGAAGAGTTCCCTCCCGCAGATGACCATAGGGCATGCTTCATAACCACTAGATGCTACTAAAACACCACTGCCCGTGTTGATATTCCAGCTCGTAGTCAGAGAAGTTATAGGAAGAGAATGGACACTCGCAAATCGATGAGACAGGAAACAATGGGAGGATCCAGAATCAAAAAGCGATAAAGCAGGTACGGAAGAAACAAGAACCTTGCCTATTTAGGAGGATGTTAATGCAACTAACTTAGTATTCATAAACAATCCTACCATGATATTATCTAGTAATGCTAATTAAATAAGTTCATAAGCAAATAAAACTTAGAGTAAACCATTCTTACCAGTGATAACTTGGTCGTTCGCCTCAGCTTCTACGGTTGACATCATGAACATCTGCCGCTGTGGTTGCTGCCTCTGCGCTTTCTGATAAGCCTGCTGCTGCTGAGGAAGTGGCCCTGCTCGAGGATAGGATCTGGGCTGAGGCGGTGCTGCCAGGGCTGGTCGAGGTGGTGCTGGGAGAGCTGCCCGAACTGGAGGTAGGGGCAAACGAGCCTGCTGCTGTTGAGGATAGTCCTGACTAATATGACCCGAGGACCCACAAGTATAGCCTCTGCGGGTTTAGGTTGCTGCTGTCTCGGAGGGAGACGCTCGACACTTCGGGTCGGAGCTGTTGGTGTCCTACTCTGAATCAAGTGTGAATCTTCTGGTTCCTTCTGCACGCTCTCAATCTCACGTGTTGCATCCAATACGGCGTCGTGAGTCGCGAGAGCCCTACCAGCCAAAGCCAATCTGATATACTTGTCCAGACCTTTCTGGAACTGGTGCCTCCTGATAATGGGGTCCGTGACCAAGTGGGGAGCATATCGGCTTAAAGAAGAAAACTCGGCCTCGTACTCGTCGACTGATCGACCCCCCTACTTGAGCTCGACAAATCTACGCAGGAGCTCATCTCGGGCCGACTGAGGAAAATATTTCCTATTGAAGCTATCCGTGAACGTCTCCCACAGAATCGGCCTCTCTAGGTGTGTCTTCTCAGCAGCCCACCAGATTCTAGCTGTATCCGTGAGCTGAACATCCATGAGATCTACCCACTCTGCAGGGGGAATACGAGTCACCGTAAGGATAGTCTCCGTGACCTTGAGGAACTCCTCTGCTGCTAAAGGTCCCTCGGCACCAGTAAAGGAAGGAGGCCGCATATATCGAAACTCTCTAACACCAGGCTCCGAGCGAGGTGGATGCTGGTGCTGAGGCTCCTGCTGCAAATGCCCAGCTAAGAACTGCTGGTTCGTCACAAGCCCTTGAATCATCGCTAAAAGCTGCTGCGGATCTGCTTCAGGCATCTGACCACTGCCACTGGATGGGTTACCATTACTACGAGTACCCACCATGGTTCTGAAGGAAACGAGGATCAAAAGGAAAATTAAGGTTAAAATCAAACAATATATTTGGAAAATAGGAACTAAAACATAGTTATTAAGATAATAATATAAGAACTTAATTGTAGTCTTACGGATGGAAAATGATATGTATTTGAATCGTCCAATACATTCTTACTAGTGGGAACTCGGGACCGTGACCTGCATGGGCCACCACTAAAACATGTCACGTCCCGCTTCCCAAAATACCGGGGAATCGGAGCGTGAACAAGCCCGCGACATATTAGATTGAGAAAAATATATATATATATATATATATCATTTTTTTTTCTTTTCTTCTCAATCCAATACGCTAAGCGTCAAATATACAAATCTCAATCACAGGTCCCCGATCATAATAGTAAGAATATAAAGACAACCCAGAATAAGAAATAAACATATCATCAACAGATCATCCTAGACATAAAATATGGGTTACAGTTTAACTAGAAAATAAGAAATACATAGTCCATAATAAAGGAGTTCTGCCAAAATACGAAGATCCGACATTAACTAAAGAAATAAAATGATAACGAGTTCTAATGTTCATCAACTACTACATAAAAGAAAAACACGTCTAGACTTCAGTTTGTTCTTCCACTCCATCGGAAGGACACTCTGGCTGGGTATACTCCGGCTCTACTGCCTCCTCGAACTGAACATGTTCGTCTCCTAAGTCTAACACACACCAGAGGAAAACAGGTGTACGTCAGCGTGTATGGCACACAGAAAGATCTCACATGAACAAATAAAATGGTCGTATGACCCATGCTATGACAGTAATAATACTAATATGAAGGACAATGGTACATGCAACTGGAAATCTAATGATAACATACAGCTGTGTGGAAACGGTAACTGGGTCGAATACTAATCATCCTAAGACTCACTGGTCCATCTCTCAAATAGGTTCAAGTTCGCATTATCGGAAGACTGACTGTTCACCATCCCCTACGCGCATCCAATCCCGTGAAACAGGCGGCTAGAGGACTACACGCAATCCGATCTCGGCCCGGTCCGGACTCAGGCAAAGCTCAGGTGACGAAACAGGTCACGGATCCAAGTGGCGAAACAGGTCACTTGGTCCATCAAACCAACTCCAGGACGAAACAGGTCTCTGGTGCGGCCTGGAAGTTAAGTCAACAATCACATTCGATCATGCGAACTAAGACTTTCCCAACCCAACTCTTTTCGTTTTTCTCAGTCAACCATAATCTTCACTGAAACTCGGGTTCACCCAACCCAACTCTTTTCGTTTTTCTCAGTCAACCATAATCTTCACTGAAACTCGGGTTCACCACCTAACTTAGTCAACGCACTCACACATGCCACTAAGTCAGTTCATGACGCACGAGGCCACTAAGTCATGAACCACTAAGGTTCTCAACACATCAATAGATCATGAATATAGTATAGTATGTTAAACATGATTACACAAGTTTATGTAGTAGAAAAGAGAGCTGTAATGAACATGAAATGCATAAACAAGATACAGCATGAATATAATACATGAGTGGACTTCATTATTATCTTACCGCTAGGATGTCCAAACTTCTCATATAAAATATCCATACTTACGTATTCTCTAATATAATAATACGGTAAAAAGGACACTAGAAACTGATGTCGTTTTGCACATGAAATGTCGCGCTCCACGATAATCAATCGTACTATCATAAATAATAATATTCTTTTTCCAAAATTATTCTTTAAAACTATTTCTCATAATAATTAATTTAAAATACAAAAATATATATATATAATTGTTAATTCCTTTTTACATGAAAAGTAATATTTTCCTATTTTATAAATTACCTTAATTAATTCATTTTAGATAAAATTTAGTAAATTCTAATTTTAATACATAACTTGTCATTTCATGACCGAAATTCTTAAAAATACAATTAACAACATTATTAATCTAATTTTCACGGCACGCTCGCAATCATCATTCCACGCAGATATTCAAAAATACGTGTTAACCACAATAATAATTTAAACATATTCAATCATAATACTAACAACAATATTACCACAAAATAATTTATCTATATCTAAACACGATATTAATCATTTATTAAAAGCAAGATGGATGCGAGATCTTGCCTACAATGAGTCGACTGTGAGTGTGGCTAGCGGCGTTGACGCGGTGACGACAACCGAAAGGCGTGGATCTTAGACAGCGGCACGGTTGTGCAACATGGTTGTGCTCGTCGGTGAATCTGGATAAGACGATAGCGGGGGAAGACTGTCGAGGGACTGCAGCGATGGAGAGGGGCGAGGGGGACTGCGGCGCTTGCTAGCGGCGTGGGCGGAGGCCGTCGGCGGCAGCGCTGGTCGAGCTCAGGCGAGAGCGGTGGAGGGGAGCGGCGTTGAGCGGAGGAGAGGTAGTAGAGTTGAGTAGGAGGTCGGGGCTGATGCGGTGCTTGTAGGGAGGAGGAGCTGGTGGGTAGGTGAGCGACGAGCTGGTCGTCGGAGCTCAGCGGGGCGGCGTCAGCTGCTGCACGAAGCTGGTGGCTTAGGCCTGGAGGCTGGCATCTGGGGTTGGTCGGCGGAGGAGGGACGCCGACGGGGGAAAGAGGGCGAGAGGCGCGGCCTGGGCGGAGCTCGAGGAGGCTGACGGTGCTGCTGGGGCTTGGCGGAGAAGGGGGATGCGGTTGAGGGCTGGCGGGGGCTGCAGGAGGCGGCGGCGATGCAGAGGCTAGGGCGGAGCTCAAGGCTGGGCTGAGCTCGCAGTGTCAAGCTCGAGGGCGTGGTTTGGTCGCGCGGCTCGAGCGGCGGTGGGGACTGAGCTCGAGCTCGAGGGCGGGGCGACTGGCGCGCTGGCGGGGCGACTGGCGGCGCTGGCGGGGGCGACTGGCGGCTGTCGCGGGTGTCTGCAGGGGCGTTCGTCGGAGTTTGGAGCGGCGCGAGGGTGCTGGTGGTGGTTGATGAAGGAGAAAAGAATGAAGAGAGAGGGGGTTGGTTCGTGGGGGTTTCTTGGCGAATGCGAGAGCAGAGTGAGAGAGAATATAATAAAGAAGAGAGAGAGTGGAGTGATGGTGAGTGGTTGAGTGAGAGAGAGTGAGACATCAGCTTTTAATGAGAGGATAATAGAGAGAGTGTCAGAGAGAGAGAGATTGAGTGTGAGATTGGAGAGAGAGTAAGAACGGCGGAAGATTTTATTGAGAGAGAGAGTACGTGATAGGGTGGTTGGGAGGATGTGGGTTGAGAACTGGGGGGAAACACGAGGCGGAGGGATTTGCGTGAATTGGGGAGAGATATACAGAGTGAACACCGGTGAGAGGAAAAACACAGGGAAAAATACCCCTTTAAATAATTTAAAAAATATCATAAAATTTATTTAAAATAAATATTAAAATTTATGGTCAAAATAATAATAACAATAATAATGATGAATAATTAACTATTTATTTAAAAATTTTACCAAAACAATTAAATTTATAATTAGCAAAACTTATTAAAATAACATAATATCGTATTTTTAAATTGTAGAAAATTCTAGAGAAATTGGGAAAAATACAAATACTCTTTTAGAAAAATAATATTTAATATTTAAATATCAAAAAATTATTTAAACCCGTATTAGAAATTTACGGTCATTACAAGCTCCTAACCAAAAACTCCTTTAGTAAAAAGATTGAAGTTTACTTGGTCAATTAGCTAGGTAAGAATAGTACTATAGGGAGATCAATGATCAATTAAGTACCTCATTCCTTATAGAGCACTTTACGCCATCCCTAAACATTGTTTTAGACACTAACTAATTCAAGTAAACTTGAACCGGTTCACATAGGAGTTTTTTGTTCCTTAATAAGCTTGAATCCTTAAGGGCAAACGTCTTATTAGTTTTAAAAGGATTAGGTTTGTGTAGTAAGGAATTAGTGATTTGTAGGCTAAGGAAAGGGTGATGAAATCCCTCATCTTATCTTGATTAGGGATTGCCCTTAAGAATATTTTCAAGTGAGTGTCAAATCAAGATGCTCAAATCATTTTGGTGAATTCCTACTATTATATACAATGCAACTCTAGGAATTAAAAGCAACTACAAAAGGATGGTAAAATAAAATCTTTTTATTTTTTAATTAAGGTTAACAATCAAACAAATGTGAGAAAAGGAGATGTTATTTGAATTTATTATCTTGTTAGTAAATGTCTAAGTGGATGGTGAATTTTATTATGGTTAACAAAATAATTTTTTTCTTTCTTTTTAGATCCTAATTGTCTCTAATTGTGAGAAACTAACTAAATGGGTAGATTGAAAATACTAGAAAGAAGATTTACTACAAGCAAATCTTCAAATCCTTGATCTTTAGTCTCCAAGTGGTTCCTTCGCAAAAAACACACAAATTAAAGAACCAAAATATATAAAATCCTACTTATAAGCACCTTCCCTGGCAACAGCACTAAAAACTTGACGGGGCATAAATGCATACCTCTAAATTTGCAAGTGCACAACCATTAAGTTATAGTATAAAAAGTCATCGATCCTACGAGGAAGATGTTTGTAGGAGAAAATCAAAATCGGTTCTCATATTGTGAGTGTGATAATTAGGAGTGATAAATATAATTGTGGAGAGATAGAGAGAGTGAGAGTGATTGTATGTAAATAAAAACAAAACAAGATTGAGAGTGGAGAGATAAAGAGTGGATGTGATAAAGTGTAAGTGTAAACAAAACTAACAAAGGGGAAGAAAGAAAGAAGAAGAAAATAACATTAAGAAACAAATGAGAGAAAAATCAAGAATAAAGAGGAAAAATAAAGAAAGTAAAAAATAGAGGATTTAATTAAAGATATGATGAATCTAGAACTGAATCCACTAGTTAGCTTCATGTAATTTCTAGAGTTCCCACAAGTATTAGTTCCACATCTTAAATAAAAGAGCAATTTCCTAGAGGGTTCTGGCCTCAAAGCGAATCAGAGAAAAGGAAAATAGACAAAAATAAAAACTAATCCCAAGAGGGTTCTAGCC